GACTCATCCGTAGTAAGCGCGTTCTCGCTGCATTATCGACATATTCGCGCAGGCGCGTCCCGTCGGCCATCCGCGAGCTCCGCGAGCGAATCTGCCCATCTATATCCTCTTATTTATACTGTGCTCTTGGCAGACGCGATCATCGGGGTGCGAGTCAAATCGCGAGGCCAATGTCGTGTAAGGCCGTCGGTTTCGCTGACCAACGATCTCGCCGGCGTTTCATGAGCCTCGACGGGGCACGTGCGAACGCGCGACATTATTGCCGGCGATCAGCGATCTACGATCGCATGCATCCGCATCAACGACGTTACGACGAACGCGTCTCACCTCTACAATCTATGCCTGACCGCGGGAAGGACGCCGCCGTTGCCCGATCGCAGATGCGCACGTCGACGACGATCTCGTCCGTACCGGTGAGTACTCCGGCTTCTCGGGGATCGAGACCGCCGAACGCCATATCCACGCCACATCCAATTCTCGTGGTGGTGCACGAGAAAAAATATCTTTCAGAATAATCATCGCTAACTTTCCATTGTCACTCGGTTCAAGAAAGATCGCTCTCTCTCTCGTGAGCCTCACTACGGAGATCTGAAAGCTTCACCGAGATTATTTTTTTTTGTTCTCACTGTCGTGAGACATTTGTCGTTGTTATCGCTAAGGAATTATTTTTAATTAGCTTTTGATCGCACATGTTCAGTTGAAGGCATATATCCTCACATGTGCTTCAGACATGACAGAGCCAAACATATAAAAATATTTTTTATATTCATTTAATTTTTAACATGAAATTTTTAACATTTGGACGTCTTTTCAGATTTTCGGATGTTCGCCAGACTTGAAAATAACTGGTAGAAAATAGCTGGTTTTGCTTTTTCATATATATTCCTTTGTTTCGTTCATACTTGGATTTATCAAGATCAAATTTGTCATTTGTCTCATTCTTTGTCTTATATAAAAGATTTAGACTTTTGTGTAATTTAGTTGATTGAACATACTGTACTGCTTTTCTTTTATTTTAAACACATGGCATCGATAGTTCTTGAATTATATATTAGGCTTCTTTTTCATTGAACTTAAAACTTTATTGCTTTGTTAAATTTCAAATTTATATCTATTTTATCTTACTATGGAGTATATTAATTCTGCTACAAAAAACAATGGTTTGTTTTTTTCACACTGAGACTGCATCAGAATAGAATACAAGATAGAGTATCAAGGTAGAGTATTTATCCTAGTATAATGAAAAAAACAAACCACAGGTTTTTGAAACAAAAGAATTGAGCAAAATTTCAGAATTATTATTCTTCTTATTTCTTAATATTTTTATCGTCATTCTTTTTTTGCAGTAACCATGGTTGAGATACCAAAGGATTGCGTCTTGCAGTGGGCTGGCCACGCGGGATATATTACAGAAAGATTCAGTGGTCTTTTGGCACGTCAGGCTCTAGTCGATGTCACTTTGATCTGCGACGAACAAAAACTACGTGTTCACAAGCTGGTTTTAGCTTCGAATAGTATTTACTTTGAGGTATATATATTAGAATGGTATAGTATTAGAGATATAGTATTAGAATGCATATTCTTCATTATTCCTTTATTATTCAGTAACATCGTGTATCTAACGTTTTTAAAAACTGAATATGTTTGTATATTGTTTTAATGATTTGTACATTGCACACAATCTAATTATCTTCTAACGATATTAATATGTATCTTTTTTTATATACATTGCATTTATTAAATTGATGTAGATATTTTTTAATAGAATAGACAATCTCTGTCTTTTAATATTCTAAATATTGTTCATATTGTTATGCAGTTAATAATTTTTTTAGGAAAATCATCATTTTATTTTCTGAATTCAAAAACTTGGATTACAGGCTTTAGAATTTACATTTGATAATTGCAAATATGTTTACAAAATACTAGAGTGCTTCCAAAGGTCACATTTTATCATTTTCTAAACATATCATTATACATTATCACATTTATATAAGAAACAACAAAAGATATTGTTTTATAAATTGAAAAATAATATTAGATTATATTATAAAAAGGATTTATTTAAAATAATATAAATAAAATTTTATAGAGACAGTTTAAAAGAACTACAAAATGTTTATTTATATAAAAAATTTACTTATATTTATTGTAAAGAATTTATTTTAAATTAAGTTTATTGGGATGTTGATGTTGATTAACATTTGAATATGCATATTTTCCCTTTCAGATTTCTACTGATGACTTACACAATATTATTAAAATTTTTTTATTTAATAAAGTTTTAAAGATATCTTACATGTATTTATATATATATTTTTTTCAAATTATTTTGCATTATTTACAAAATTATTCATTGTTAGAAAATATTTAATTGTTTGCTTATGAAAAAAAGATAATTCCAAATTATATCTTTATGCTCATATTTTCATATAATCATATTGATAAGCAAAATTTTTTATATGTATAGTCATTTTTGAAAAAATACAAAGAAAATCCCGTACTATCGTCATACATCAGAGAGACAATGCTTTATTGCAATATCTATAGATTTAAGGTTATTTAAATATAATTATAATTACAAATATATCATGTATTACTTTAGGATTTTCAATATTGCTAGTTTAAAGCTAAACAAATATTTTACTAACCCAATTTTCACTAGAATGTCTACCACACATCATTTTACATTTATAGAAAGACTTCGGACTTTTTTGTTTATTATCATATAAACAGTGATAAAAAAGAAAGGTATTTTTATTATATTTATTTTAAAATTGGGAAATATAGCGTACTTATGGTAGAACAATTTTGCAGGGATAATGTAAAAATTCGTATAAACTAAAGAAAGCCTTGTATATCGGAATTTCAGTAGTTCTTAACAAACATTTGAAGAAACCAAGTTTGAGGGACATACTTTTCACAACTTTCGAAGAACTTAGAAAGGTATTAAATAACTAATTCATATGATCTAAGGATAGTAAAGTATGTACACTAAAGTATTTCTATCTTCTAAAAATTTATTACTTTACAAGGTACATAAAAATACCTTGTTTGCATGATACTACTACCTTCCTGTATGCAACCTAATATATCATTATTGCACAAAATATTTTACAATTTAAAAAAACAGATTTTAAAAACGCATTAAGCAAATATTAAAATTAATTATTCCAAATATTCCAAAATAATATATATATATAGATACTTTACATAGACATTCTGTATAGACATTCTACGTCTCTCTATTCTTTAACTCTCAATTATTTCATTACTTCAATGCCTTTTATGATGTTCTTCTTTGTTTTATACTATAGGAGATACTACAACAAGATTTGGGACAAGAGCCAATTATACTTTTAAAAGACTTGGACTTTAAAATTTTGAAGGCCATGGTCGAATTCATGTATTGCGGCGAAACTACGATATCTCATCAGCATTTATCATCCTTACACACTGCGGCACAAATTTTTAAGGTATGCAGCAAAACTATTTTAATCAAGAAAATAATAGAATAACTAGAATTATTCTAGTTTGTGAAATTAATACATATATTTATTTTTATTTTTTCAAGGTTAAAGAATTGGAATCTGTGATCGATACTATTGTTGATTCCAAGAAAATTTTAGACGATTTTGGAAGTTGCCTAAAGCAGCAGAAAGGAGATTGTAGTTTAACGATTGCGAACAATTCGCTTACGGAGAGTGATTACGTCTGTGTTAGATATGATAAACTAAGCATGGACGAGAATACAACAGTCTGTGCAAATAGCAATAACGACATAAGCTCAAGTAAGAATCAATTTTTAGAGAACGACATGATTGAAGGCGCCGAGCATGATTTAGAACACATGTTATATGAGGAAACGAATGCTATCGATGTCGGCAAAAAGGATGTAGATACATCGTTCTCGGTATCTGATGTAAATATAACTGTACAAAGCGATACTACTACCAGTGCCGTATCTACGCATGTCGGTATAGTAAATGAAGTACAAACCAGGTGCACAAACATCAATAGAGACGATGCTTATTGTAAAAGTCTCGATTTAAAACCTATCTTGTACGAGCAATGCTGTGATTTTTCCTGCGACGTAAACGAAAACGATCAAACCACCTCTAAATTGTCGCAATCTTGCCTTCCACAAGTCGAAAACGACTTGGAGCACTGTTCCGAGAGTAGCACAGAGGTTCCTAGCACGATAGGAAAATGCGTCAAGGTTTATACGCCCAAACGACGTAAATCTATTGACGAAGTTCGTAATAAGCTTGTACATACACAATGCAGTTTAGTGCCAACTCCGCCGTACTCCACGGATTCCATAGATTTACTAGACGAGCCGTCCGCTAATGATGTACCGGTTACTTTATTAACCTCTTTAGATATGGAAAGCGCCGAATATATCTTAAGCTTGAGCATGGAAAGCATACAATCGATAGTAGGTGGTACTATAAGCGATCAGCATACGGTGATCGGATGTAGAGGAGTAAACACCGAACGAGACGTTGCTAAGGAGCAACTAAATTCCCCAACGAATAATACGGATTACGCGAAACCGGTTCTTAGACGTAGCACGCGACTGAGTCAACAGGAGAATGATGAGACTACGAGCAATGGTGTCCTTTCGGGAAGCTCCTCAGGAACCGAGAAGCCATTCAAAAAGGGTAATTCCCCCAATGGAACGGAATCATGTACTAAAACAAAACGCAAGGGGAAGGAGGATCGTAAGGTGCCGGACCATAGCGTAATACCGAGCGTAGTGCAATCTAGCAAAAAGAACTCCAATGGCAAAAAGACTAATTCGAAATTGATAGTAAGAAAGAATAACAAGTCTGCGTGCACAGTTACCAGCGGTAAAGAAAAAGAGGAGCCGAAACCGAGGGCGAATAGGTTTAAGGTCGAAAACACAGAGAGGTCAGTAACAACAGATCAACCCACGGCTTATCACTCTATAAAATCCAATGTATGCAAGTGCATTAGTCGCGCTTTGTGGGGCGACATGTCCGATACCTTGGATTATTGGGAGAATGAAGCAGATCTGCTTGCATATCCGTCCAACACTGAAATTCCCTTTGCCGTTGGCTTGCTACCTTTACGGACTGCTTTGGAAAAAATGCAAGCAACGCCGGATTATCAACCACGCAAAACACGTTCTTCAGTCGCGCCGATAAAACAAGAGGCAAGTAACAATCTAAAGCGGAAATACTGCACGCCATCCGACGCAGTAGTACCATCGAAAAAACAAAACGGCAATAATAATAACGAGAGTCCGAACACCGTATGTCATATAGAGATACGAACAGCACCGTCGCAGTGCATGAAAAATCGTAAACGTTTCCTTCCGGATTCAATTACGAGTCTGCCGACAAATGAACCGACGTCGCAAATGGCAAGTAATAATATAGGTTAAAATTTCCAATAAAACATGTTGGTTCAAATATGCTGTATCGTAGTAGTTTTAAATATGGCATTAAACGTTGGACATAAGGCAGCAAAATTCTGATATCAGTCTCTCTTATTTTTAAGTTTTTAAGTTTATTCGAAACAAGAATTTAAGATTAATAATTTATTTCCCTCGCCATACTTAGAATCCACTTGTAAGATTTAAATATCTTACAATTTATATAATAATAAATGATTTTAATGTAAATAGAAATATTTTTACGTACGATGTTGCACAAACTCTTGCAATCAAGTTATTGCATATATTATATACCTTGCAAATAGTCGTATCTGTCTTAAGCTACTTATATATTGTAGGCGATTTCATATTTTTGATAATGTTAATTTAATTGTAATTTATCTTTAAGTACTATTAAATTTATAGGTAGATATATACAGATAGAAAAGTGATAAAAGTGATTCTTGTTACATCTCTTCAACATTCAATATTTAAATACTGTCCATTTTCTTTTTCATTTTTTCGTAAGTTTCAAAAGCAAATTATAAGCACACAGTTAAGTTTTATCAATTCAGCACGATTATTTTTAATCAAATTCAGTGTCAATTTGTTTGTGTACATATGATTTAATTACATAAGAATGCATGGTCGAATGAATTGTATTTGTATTTATGAAGATACACATTGAAAATTTATTTTAAGTATTATGAAATATATATGAAAAAATAAGGACAATCTATTTTTATAAATTTCTGTTTTTTAATTTTACACATATGTGGAACTAACTCTGAAAATATAGAATAATTTTAAAACTTTGTACCTTCAAGAATACAGCAGCAATAACATTTTAATAGAACTCTGTAATATTAGCAGGTATAGTTTAATATAAATTTAATAAGATAAATAGAAAGCAATTTTTACAAATATAGCGAATGTTGTGATGATAATTTATTTATCGTTTCAATGTCGACAAGATTTCAGAAATATGAAGTATTTCCTTCATGTTTTTACTTAAAAGGCATCTTTTAACTTAGGGTAGATAATGTATGATGTATGTATGATGCAACTAACACGCTATATAAAGATGTATGCTATATAAACAAAGACAAAGTTGTGTGTGTTTCAAAAATTGCGTTATAAAAATTATGCATTTTTATTAATGTACAATTTACTATCAACGCAATTTATCAAATGTCTTAATTTAGATTCATGCATCTAAATTGGATTTTGTACATTTAGCTTACAGTATTCCTAGGATTAAACAGTCTGCTCAATACACAAGGATTGTTTATCGTAATAACAATCAGTAATGTTTAAAATATAATTATATAAATAAATATATATATA